ACCTGCGGGCTGTCCAGCCTGCTCTTCAGGGACGAGTGGCGGCTGATAGAATTGAGGCTGCCGTGGCCACTGATGGAGCATTTATCTGGAACCTCCTTGGGAAGACTTTGGCTCATAATGGGCTGAGATGAGGGTCTGGAACCGGCTATGGCTCCTGGGGAGGCTGGTTCTGCCATTGAGCTACCTAGTCCATGGCTGTCACTTTGTCGGAAGGCTCTTCTGATGCTGCCTGACTCTGGTTTCTTTCTTTGCCTTCAGTCACAAAAGCAAAACAAGTCAATACAAGCAGGTACACATAACGGGCTGTCATTTGAAGATATCCCCCCAAAACAACACAGAGGACAACGGGAAGAGACATGAAGAACCCAGATTACAAATACACCCAGGGTTTTAGGAGTCATTGTGAAACAGTAAAATGATAAATTATTCCAGTTTAACACTTCTAACAACAAGACTGAGTTTCTGGAAGCTGTGCACATTCATAGCAAAAACAGAAAACTTGGATGGAACGTAATTAACCTGGTCAAGAAGAAAAGAATTTATATTTGAACAAAAAAAAAAAACCCTCTGTGCCATCAACAGGTTTTGATGATGTGTTTTTATTACAGTCGAAGAGCAGAGCTACAAGTTTTGACTGGAGGACACAGTATAAGTCTACTAAGCTCCTGGCCCAAGGCATCAAGTTGTTATTCTCAGAGACTGGCAAACAAAGAACCCCATGGTTTGGGGTTAATGATCATTTCCAGTATTTGCTGGTGGTAATAGATGTTTCTTTTTCATCGCTGTAGCAGGACCATGAGGTATTATCTATGTAGGGCTACAGATACACCAAAAGATGATGTCAATGGATGAGCTGGTCCAAACAATTTAGTTTCTACCCCAGCACCATGTGGTCTGACAGCACGATTCCACTCAAATTGTATGAAGGCCAATGCAGCAGAATACTTTATGCCATAGGTCTGAAGCTTGGCATCCATTATACAGGGAAGGATCCATTTATATATAGCACCAGCCCCATGAATAACTGCAAGAAAGTGTTAACTCCAGTAGGATTTTGGCATCCAAATAATAATTCAGTGGGTGGCACAACTGTCACTGCGAAACCATCTGATTTAATTTTGCTCAAGTCTGTTCACACATAGGTCAGAAGATTCATTCCTAAAGAAAAAACAACAAAATGAGTCTTATGCTACTATTGCTAAATATCAGTTTCCCTACTAAAGGGGGGAAAAAAAAACAACCTGGAGTGGACATTCCCCAGGCCTCTTAAACCCTACATCCAACACTACCCAAAGCAGCAGATGGTGAAGCTCCAACACAGCTCTGTTCATTACACAAATCTTTCCATAACTGGCAGAATGGAACACTTCACTGGCTCATACCATAAATATCCTAACAGAAAGCCCAGATCCCAAGCTGATGCAGATTAACAAAGCTTCACTGCTATCAACTGAGCCCTGCTGACTCCCAAAACCAAAGGACCAGGCTCTGTGTAGGACATTAGCAGGTCCAAACCTTTAAAAAGAATGCAGCTCTGTTCATGCCTTTACAGACTACATTGTCAAATTAACTGAAGGTTAAAAATATCCACTCCCATTAAACTGTAATTATCATATTAATACCTTCACTGCACAACAGGGAGACGTGGGGGTTTTTAATACTAAGGAAATAATCAGGAAGATAAGGGGGATAAGTCTGTTCTAGAATAATTAACAGATCAAGAAATTTAGTCTGTTACTAGCTTAATTTCCCATTTTTTTAAAAATTATGTTGAGTGTTGGTTAAAGTAACAATTTCTGGTTGAGGAGGCAAAGTTAGAGCAAGAGGGGGGTGTGCTGTTGTGCTGCAAGCATATGGTTAGTAACCTAAGGTGAGCAGTGCTGGAGAAATGAAGGAATGTTACAGGCAATGTCAGATGGTGGGACTTCAGGTATGTCATTTAGCACAGAACGTGCCACTATTTTCTGCAGAAATTGTCCCCCACCCCATCAAACAAAACACATTAAATGTAAACGAGACACAACAAATCACAGAACGTAACAAGGAATGGGAACACAGAATTACACAAACTCACTCTGCTATTTCCCTCCCTTTTTCTGTGTGCTCACCTTATAAAATAGGACTTATTTGGGAAAAGGGGAACAGATGGCACCTCAGGGATAGGGAAGAGAAGCCAGTGGGATTTTAAATGAGCATTGGCCACGCTGGTGACAGAGACAGAGAGGACAGCAAAGTGCCAGCAAGTTAGAAGAGAGGGAAGCAGAGAATAAAAGTGGCAGCACTTCCTAGTTCAGGGAAGGAAATATTTTACTGGCCACATCACCAAGATCTTGACAGTGAAGTAAAACAATGCAAGGCTGTTCTTACTTGTTGATGTTTGCAAGGTAAATATCTGCGACGTGACCCCCACTCGGGCAACTGGCACCAGCTCTAGCAGTCACTTTTTCTTCCGGTGGCTCAGAATTTATTTCTATTTCAGACTTTGGACTGGATCTTTCAGAGGCACCATCCTCACTAGGAAGGAGGAGGGAAGGAAATCACAACCAAAACAGGACCAGCAGCACTGAATTGCAAACACGGCACTGGTTTTCCAGTGCAGCACTGTGTAACACACATCCAGGACAAGAGCTCTGTGCTAGCATCTTTCTTTTAAGAATCATGACATAACTTTCAAACGAGAGAGCCTGAATTCTGTGAGCAACCTGGAGATCCCAGCTCTGCATCTTTTAACAGCCTGGCAGGCCCAGAACAATTTTTACATGGTGCCTTCACATATGTGGACACCTGTGCCTCTGCGGAGCTCTCCCTGTTTCAAGGGCTCCCTTCCTGCAGGGAAGGTCGAAGGATAAACTCTCCCCACCTGGTGTCAACATCTGGACACAAACACACTCCATTCCACACCAGAGTTTGAAGCAAACCCATCCTGCAGGTGGGTCTGAAGTGTGACATACGTGTCTTGGACGACGATGTACTGATGAGGAATGAGGCCGTCGATGCCGTTGTGACGTCCCTCCCACCAGTCATCTGAGGCCCTCTGGTAGAGCAGGAGAGAAGCTCCTTTCTTAAAGGACAGCTCTCGAGCAGTCCTGCCAATGTAGTCAAACTTGGCTATTGCTTCTATGGGCTCACACTCTAGGAGATAGAAGGGAATAAACAAAAATTCACTAAGCACTCGGGCTCAGGTCAGTATTCAATGGTTTAAACCTACCAAAATGCAGCTTATGTGGAGAGCATGGAAGAGGATAAAGTGTTGCTTCTTAAGGCAGCAGAGGGTTGAAGCAGTAAGATGCAGAGGGGAACCCCTATGAGAGGAGGATGTTGCAATTTCAGCATTTACCTAATCTCTACGTGGTGGACACATTCACATTTTCTAAGTCTTAAACCCCACAGTGCAATTCAAGTGTACAAGGATGGAGATGGCAATGGCACAATTAGTATCTCATTAAAATAAAATCAAAATTCAAAGCTGAGGAGCAATCAGGTATGTCCCAGACAAAATCTGCCTAAGGTACATTTTCTTAAAGGCAACTACACTGAACCTCTCGGGCAGACAAGCAGGAACTGTTATTAGCATTGAGGGAGGGCAGCATCCTCTGAACCCCAAGCTGCTCCAGAAATAAAGCATCTATTCAGAAGGAAACTTCTGCTGCCTGTGAGGTTCACCTGACCCAGGAGACTGGATTCTGGCACCATGGGAGGCTGTGCTATTCATCCAACTGTCACAGAAGAGAGGGAAAACACTCAGTGCCTCCTCTGCTGTGGTTTGTGCAGCCATCAGGAGAGCTGGGGCTGCCCTGGGCTCTGGGGCTGCCCCGTGCATGCCCAGCAAAGCCACAGGCTCCAAATCCCACTGCTCCAACTTGAAGCACTCACAGAAGAGCTCCAGCCACGCTGTTCCTGTATCCAGCTGCTAATCTGGGTCCCTGCAGGACTCTGGCATTATACAGAGGGACAATATGGGCATTTAGACACTCAGGAAAATCAATATGAAATTCACATGGATTATTTTTAAGACTTTAAAAAATCTGCCATTGGTTGAGTCTAAATATGCATTAAGCCAGCTCCCAATTCTAGGCAGACATCAGGGGAATGAAGATGAGCTCAGCCACAGGGCCCCAGTGGGCTTCAGCCTCTAATTACTTTAAAGGAGCTTTGACACAGCCCAGCAGTCCATGGAAATGGGAGTTTTTTTCCTGGGGAAAAACATTTGCAGTTCCTCTTTCAGGACAAGAAAGGATACACCATTTTGTCCTGAGATCTCCTCTGCACCACAGGGAGGTTCTGCCCTGCAGGATCCACGACACTGATGGAAGCCTCAACAATTAATTTTTTCCATTACTAAACCAGAGAGCTCAGAATTTTGTCAAATCCCAGAGTTCAAGTCAGCCTGTGATCAGCCCCACACGAATCCCCTTATCAGCTCTCAGCACCCAGGGGGATATCTGCCAGGCTGAGGAAAGCCTGGCCCAGGTTTGCAGCTTGCCACAGCCCCCTGGCTCCAGCCTCCCCAGAGCCCACAGGTATCTGGGCTTGGCTCCTTCTTTCCTCTGGCTTGTTTTGCCTCTGGGGCCAGCTAAACACTAAAAAAACAATAATGCTGTTTTTTGGTGTCCCCCTCCATTTATGAAGGGGATGGGAGTGTGGGTTTGTAAATTCCATCTGTTTCATTAAGAAGTGTTTATTGTTCCAGATGAGTGCAGCACTCAGGTTTCTTATGTTTCCAATTTGCTTTTTAGGACTCTGGCTTTCGTCCAAAGAAGTGATTTTTAGACTCTAATTTCCAGTAGCTTTTTCCTACTACACTTATGCTGTGCAAGTAAAGAGCAATAAGGCTAAGCCAAACAACCACCCCTGCCAGTCTGACAGCCCAGGCAGGAAAGCAGCAGTTTAAAATCTTTCCACTCTTACACATGATTTATATGACCTGCTTGTCCTTCAGCATCTCTGACCTCTCGTGCCTCTCCCAAGTGTCCACTCACTGGTACAGTGAGGCTGATGGTCACCAGCACAGATGCTCTACAAAACACAACCTTTCCTGCCCCCCAAAACCAATTCCTTCAGTGGCTGGATAAGGGCTTTACTTGAGAGCACTAGTGCCAGCCCCAGGGAAGAGCTAAAGGAGCAAGTGCTTGGTCACATCTAAAGACTGAAGGAGAAAACCCTAAGAACACTGGGCCCAGAGTCCTGGGGCTGGACCCTGCACTTCTGACCAGTGTGTCCCAGGTGTGACACTGCACAGAGTAATTAAAAGGATGTGAGACTCATCAATTAACCAAACTTTGCTGCTCTCTCAAAGAGACAGAGGCCCAGCTCCCTCCTCCACTCTGGTGCCAAACACTCCCTCCCAAATGCTTCCTATGGAATATTCCATGTAGGTTGCAGAACTCCATCCAAAACACCTCCAGATTTTACCTTGCTCAGGGGCCCTAGATAATCTAGCTCCAGAAGCTGCTAAACACTGTCCTCTAATCTCTAGCTGCTCATTTTCCCATCACTGTGCCCTTGCAGCTACAGGAGCAACCTAGAAATCCCATATAGGAAGAACACAAGTAGAGCCCATGGTGTTCCAGCCTGCAGGCTTTAGTCCCAGCCTTTACAGATGTGGGAAGAATCAGCCTTTCCTCCATTACAGCAATGAAACTGCTCCTTCTTCACATGCAAGCTCAGGAAGGACATGTTTTCATGCACTTTTAAAAAGCCAACACTTTTCAGAAAGGATGCTGTGTTCAAGACAGAGAACCCAGGGGTCACACCCACAGGCTTTGTGTTTCCTCCCAACAACCCTGGTGAGGTTGCCTGGGTGCTGGAACTTGCCAAGGGAGAACTGGTTTTCCAGGGTTTCTAGCAATGCCCAACATTGTTTGCTTTGTTGTCACTGTGTGAACACCATGAAGGCAGCAGGAGCACAGCAATGGCTTGGGGAAGGTTTGTCAGGGAACTGCTGGAGGAAAGAGAGCAAAAGGCAGCACAGGAGCACATGGCAGGGCTATGGAGCAAGTTCCTAAAGGCCAGCTCAAAAAGGATGGCATTTAATTTTAAGGCAATGCTGTCTTCTTCCCACCTGTACAACTGAGCCACTGCAAGTAAAACCATCACAGAACTTACTTAGACAATTGCAAGGTGCCAAAACCCAAGAAAAAAATCCCACATATTCTGTCCTGTTTTGGGCAGCCTGCTTTACATGCTGGTCAGTATTCTGGGGGTCACTGTTTCACATCAGTTATGTACTATTTTATCTTCTCCTCTGCTCTGGATGAGGCTCACATGCAGCTGCTCCCCACTGCAGGCAGAGCAAGTATCAACAACAGACTCTCCAAGACTGCAGTGACACCTTTTCCTTAGGAAATATTGTGAAGTTCTCACTGATCAGACAAGAAGAGTGACAGAGTTTGCCAAAGACAACCCAAAAAAATGAGAGAGAGGTCACCAGGACCCTCTAGCCTAAAGCCAGAGCTCCTAGTGGAAGACAAACGGTTTTTGACTTTATTTTGGTTGCTTCCTTAAAGCAGAAGCCCTGGGGCTTAAGGCACTCACAGCTCCCCTGCCAGAGCTCCTGAAATGGGAAGTGTCTGGAACACGCAGAGGGGAGCAGGAGCACATGCTGGAACATACCCAGCCTTTGGATCTGTGCTTTCCCCATGACTTGCAACTCTAAGATCCTTCTAGGGTGCAGATGAGCTCAAGCAAGTCAAGCACAGGCCTGCTGCTAAGATAAGACACCCTTGAAAAAGGGATACTTAAAAAATAGTCATGTAACTTCTAAAGATTTTACTTTTTGGCATCAAATGTTGTATGTGATGTTTCAAGTGACTATTCTGATTTAAACTCCACTTTGGATCTAACTTAGAACTTCAATTGCAAGGCACTATCTCCTCTGTCTCCCTCACAGCAGGTTGTACCAGTTTGCCAAGGAGTTAGCAGACTCTGCATACCATCATCACTGGTGTGGTGTTCAGCTGTAACATCCTGAACAGAGTCTTCTGTTGAGGCTCTCTCTCCATGAGGACTTTCACTACAACAGAAGGAAACAAAGAAGATACTTTAGACTGGTACAAATGGAGTTTGCTCATTTACAAAAATCAAAGATAACTTAACGAGGAACATCCATAAAGGAGGTCCTTGTCTAGGTTCCACTGTGCCAGACACCTGGATGTGTTTGCACATACTGAAGTTAGCATGTCTAAAGCCAAGCTCTTATTTCTTCAAATGAACCAAACATCTTTTGTTAACCTGCTTGCAGGCTATCAGGAAAGTCCAACTTCAGATCTTATAACCTGGACCTCTGGAGACATTCAGAAGTCAGAGAGCACGTTGGGTCTAGCTCCTCTCTGCCATGCCAGAATGATTCCCTCAGCTGTACTCTCCATTGCTCTAATTAGCTCATTAGATGACTGATGAGACCTGCCACTTCCTGGGGGAAATTACTTCTCAATTCATAATGTTATTTCCAGGTCTGAGTTTGTCATCTCCCTCCTTCCCTTTTATCACAATCTTAAGTTGTCCCATTCATTTCACTGCAGGACTCCCAGGGCCAGATCAATCACCTGCAATCTGTATTTACAGAGCACCTCACCCACCAGCACAGCTCGTTTATGTTTTGCATGACAAAAAGCTCTGAAAGGATCAATAGGCAACAAGTGGCAACCAGAGGTTATGTTTTTGTAAGAAGCTACAGGAGCAGTTCCCTCAGGACAGAAAGGAAACTGGAGGAGGATCCCTTGCCTCTCCCAGGCAGCTCTGCAGACCTGCTGCCAGCTGGCACCACTGCCTGCCCTGCCTGCTCCTGCTAGAAGAACTCAAGTGCTCACTCCTCATCTCACCAGATGTTGCTGCTAAAGACCAAAAAAATCAAAAAAAGGTGATTTTTAGTTCTCTTCACACAGTAGTAGCTTCATCCCTTGTTCTGGCCTTGCAATGGTTACAGGAAGTGAGCATGGCTGGAAGTGCTGCCCCTGTGATCTACCTCCTCCAGGGCTGTCAAGAGGAGAAAAAAAGGGGTAAAATGTTTGGGTAATCCTGGCATCTCAATGTGCCCAACCCAGGTGACACAAACCTGTCCCAGCACCTTCTGAGTCAGTACCTCAGGAATCAACCTTTCCCATCCTTTGCAAAGCCTTTATGCTACTTAATAAAGTTTACAGAAGAATTCAAAGCCAAATGGTGGTTCCCTGAGTTGAGCACAGCACTGAGGGCTAAAGTTTCACACAGACGGGGCAGCAACGTCGCCTTCAGCCAACGTTAGGGATCCAAATAAAGCACAAAGACCTCTCCCTGCCTGTGCCTCCAACAGCACTGCCCACCAAAAAACCTGTCTGTTGTGTGGGCCCTGGGATGCTGCAACCTTGAGGGCTCCAAAAATGCCACCAATCTCTATTGCCAGGGGAAGGCAGAACAAGTTGAGCATCTGTAAAGTGTCCTCGTCCCTGCAACTCCAGCAGTCTCCCTTGCAGGACTCCTGGACTCTCCCATACTGCCCTCATCTACTCTCAGATGGCCAGACAGATGCAGTGCAGTCCCAGGTTTGACTCCCAGGCAGCATTCCAAAGCTGCCTGCAGCACAGCTCCCAGTTTGTCATCAGCTCTGAGCCTGGCCCTGCCCTCCTGTGCCCGAGGCAGCTGGTCCAGCCTCTGCCCCAAGCACTGGCTGCAGGTTCCCTGGCACTGGGGGACTCAGCCCAGCAGTGGCACCAGGCAATGACAAAGGTAGGGCTCTGTTCCCTGAGGAATCAGCTGAACAACACACTCACTCTGCTGCTACCACTGCTTTGAACCCTATGGGCAATAAGTAACAACCATCTAAATATCAGGGCTATGAAAGGGCTTGAATGGGAACCAAATGCTCTGGCTTTCTGAAAGTCTCCCTTCCTTGCTTCTACCCTCCTCTGCTTATCAGGGTCTCAGGGCAGAGGGGCTGGGAAGGGCAGTGAAGAAAGACCAAACGCCTTCAGAAAATTGATAGTACCTTCCAGGACATTCTGCCTCCTACACACTGAAGTGTCACCCAGACTGAGTGTCCTGAACATGGCACATTTTCATTCCCTTCACTTTATGGGACAAAACCTCTTGTCTAAGTTAATGTGTTTCTCAAAGGTCATAAAGATTCTCAGTTTTTTTCCCTCTACAATTCTTTCACATACAACATCAGCTAAACCCATCAGAATGAAGGGTAAAACTAACAGAATTTCCAAAAGAGGCCCTGGCAAGTCCTGGCTGTGCAGCAGTGAGTGTGGAGGAGCCTCTCTGCACCACAGGGATGGGGACTGAGCTGATAGTTCAAGCTACTCTGAAACAAGGCAGGGAAACAAGGGCAGCTCTGTCACCAGAGTGACTTCATTTGTAAAATGTATTTATTTTAGTATATTAAAATAATCATTTGCATTCCTGGGACACTGGAGGAGAGAAGGAAGGGGGGGGAGAAGCGGGACACAATTTAACATTCCTCATTTTCAGAGGGAGAGATCAGCTTGGCCAGTAGGAAAGAAAACACCTCCTTTCCTTCCCCCACTCCCCAACCTTCCACCCCAGATGACAGGAGCCGCTCTGCCTGAATTGTTTCCAGATGTGGCTTCTCAGACTGAGCGCACGGCCAGGCCTCTGGAGCTTTCAGCTGGATGGAAACGGTGATTTTGCATTCCTCCCTCCTCCCTCCCCCACTATCAGTGCTGCCCTGAAAATTAAACCATGCCACAGGCTTTCTAGGTTCAGCTGCAAGTGACCCCTGAGTCTGCAGCAAAGGCACTCAGAAGACAAGCAGGAAGCGAAAAAAGGCCAAAGCAAGAGAAAAAAGAAAGGCTGAAAAATGAGATTGGTTTTGGCAGCTACTATAGCAGAACATCCAAGAAAATCCCTGCACAACCTTGCCCTTCAATATATGTGAGCCAGGTTTTGACAACTGAATAGCTACTTTCTACCAGCTAATTTCTTTTAAACTGATGACCTTCCAGAGATCCCAGAGCCATCTTCTCTTTCATAAAACAGAACTCTGAAAGTCTGGGCCAGATGCCTGAATCCAGAATTAGACAATACAGAGCCCATGGCTGCAGCATGCTAAGCTGTAAATAAATCTCCACCCCTTCATTTTCTCCTCAGTGGTATCTATCATACCAGTAATCCTCAGTGTTTCCACCTCTGCTATAGACTGGACCTTCCAGCTCCCTTGGTCCTGGGAAGATGTTCTCATGTTGGATGATGATGGTTTTAATCAATTCGTTGACATGAGCTTGGCAAGAGACCTGATCATGACCTTCAGGCACAGACATCAGTGTTGGCCCAAAGCAGATGGCCAAGTTGTAGGGATCCATCATGTTCTCTTCACTGAACTGAGATAAACTGCAAAAGACAGAGGTGGGGAGGAGGCTTAAGAGCAGAAAACAATATCATCATCATCATCTGCTGGTGAATATTATTGCCTTTCACTTCTGGAACCCCTTTGGGATTGTGTTTGTATCATCAGGATGGATTTCAGCAGGGCTGAGAAGCCTGGGAAGGCAGGTGCAACAGCAGACTGCCATGGAATCACACCCAGCAATGGAAAGGCTGGTTCTACCATTTACCACGTTTACACCAGGTCCTACAGCAGGGCCATGGTGCTCTCAGGGATACTCACTGATTGAGGAATGCAAAGAGGTATCTCATGACAATCAGAGTGGTCTTGGGCAGGTTCAGAAGCACCTTCCGGATGTGGAGAGCTCTCTCTTGTAAATTATCCATTGCTGAAAGGAAGCAAGAGCACCACAGAATCATCCTACCACCTGACCCACAACTTGCCACCAAGCCCAAGTGCAACCAGGATACTCTGGATGGTTCCTGGGCCAAGGATGAAGAAGGGAATCCAGCAGAGCAGCAGGAGGAAGGAAGAAGGGTCTGCACATTTCCCAGCTCCTCCAGCACTGCCTGGCACAGGAATGCAAAAGCTGCAGAACCTGCTGGTGAAGCCTTCTGATAATGAAGGTCCCTGAACACATGAAACTTCACTGCAAGTTCCTTCCCAGCGTGGGAGCACTGGATGTCATCTGTTCCAATAGTTCTGGCACAATAGCTCATTCAAGTTAGCTTAGAAAGGTGGGTGTTTAAAAAAGAAATTGTATAACACTCAAAGGAAAATTAACATAGTTAAAGGGTGAGGCAAAAAGCTCTGTGTGCAGCAGCCTACTGAGAAATAAGTGGGCAGCATAAATCATCTCAGAAGGGAGAACTTATTTGGAAGCAGATTTTCCTTCTCATATAATATGAATTCAACTCTGTAAATGCAATAATCAGGAGAAGAAAACCACGAACCATTTCAGAAGCAGTTATCTTCTGCTCCACTTCAAAGGCTGCCAACCTCAAAGGCCATTTCACTACTTGGACAATAGAATCATTCTTTGATTCTGAAGGACATGGCAGTAGTCAGGCCGTTAAAATTAGGTTGTTCATGTACAAAACACACAAACAACCCTCTGCCTACCAGAACCACCTTCAGAAACCACCAAAAAATGTTAATAACTTGACTGTGAGGGCCTTAAAGATTGACATTCTTCAACAGGAGTCCACAGATGGTCCCTCCATGTTATGAAGCTGGATGGAATGTTGCAGAAAAATCCATGACACAGACCTTGAAATCTGCTCATTTCTAGTTCCTTGCTCATTCATGAAAAAATTGCTACCAGAATAAGGATGGCTGTGAGCAGGTAAATGCCCAGGCCCTGGCTGACAGAGACTAGGACACCAGTGCAACACAAACCCAACCAAAGTAACCTTAAAAAGATTTTTTTGGAGTCAGGAAACAGGGAAAGGGGAAGAGAAGAAAGTGGAAGGTGAGACTGGAAAAAATAATCTTGCGTCTTTTCAGATCTCCATATACTTACTGACACAGGCAATTAGATCATGAAAGATATCCTTGGGGAAGAGAGGGTGCTCCAACCCCCGAAAATAGAGCTTCAGAACTCCTGCTATTGAATCCATGTCATGGTCATTCTGGTCTCCAGCCAATGGGTCTTCCCCTTCATGACAAGCAAAGAAAAACAGGGCAGAAAAATCACAGATCACAGAATCATAGAATGGTGAAGGTTGGAAGGGACCTTAAAGATCATCAGATTCGAATCTCCATGCCATGGGCAGGGACACCTCCCACCAGCCCAGGCTGCACAAGCCCCATCCAACCTGCCCTTCAACACTGCCAGGGATGGGGCAGCCACAGCTTCCCTGGGCAACCTGGGCCAGTGCCTTCCTACCCTGATGGTGAATAATTTCTTCCTAATGTCCAACCTAAATCTCCCCTATTTCAGTTTAAAACCATCACCATCACCTCCTAGAGCAGCAGGAACGCCCCCAGGCTCTGTGCTCCAGATATTTTGGTAGGGTCTGAACTTGACAGATCCACCAGGGAGGTGACCACCACCTGAGAGCAGGAGGGGGTCTCTGTGCAGACTCACAGCTGGCACTAAGGGGGGTGCAGTGCACAGGCAAGAGGCCCTGGAGCATCCTGCCCCTGGCTCAGCAGGACACAGACACCCTGTTCTGAACTGGGGGGAGGGAGTGTTTCTGGGACAGATAATTTGTCAGTGCAGAGAGGCCACAGTTTGTCTGTACTACAAAAGAAAAGATGCCCACTTAAGGAGTTGTTCCCTAGGGAAAGCTCCCTATCAGATATAATTAGATTTAATGATGGGGCAATCCTCAGATTGAAGCTATGTATATCCATTATGTGACTGAGATGACCAAAGCTTGCCTATTATCTTCATAACACACAGGATAATAAATGGGCCACTACAAACCAGAGCATATCCTTGATATTAACTGCCACCAAGGGCTCTGGAGGAAGTAATAAACTGCAGAGAGGTTATTGTTAACTTTGTCAGTTCTGTGTATCATATGTTTTACAGAGACAAGTGAGATGAAGAAAACAAAATCACCTTTTTAATTCTGCATGTTAGTGCTGGAACAACTGGCTATTGTCCCAAGATGACTGAGATTTCCTTTTATTTAAAAAAAAAGCTCTTTCATTCTGATATCAAGCCTTTATCTGCAGCCTATGACACACATGTCTGCATCCTCCCTTCCTGAGGATTTTAATTCTCAGGTGGAGATGAGGACAGGTGAAATTAGATGCCACGTTTCAGCCATGTTGCAACTCCTCTCTTCCCAAAATAAACTTGCTATGCATGAGTAATTACTGCTCATCTCTTCCAACAAGCATAGAAACACACTAACTATATTCTTTGAGAGTGATGTATTCAGGGAATTAACATGAGCCCTGTTGTTTTCAGAGAGTCAAGCAAGACTGGGGAGAAGGGCTGCAAGGACTGCCTGAGGAGCAAAGCTCTTGTGAACCTGCTCTGCCAGGGGGAACAGCCCAGCTAGAAGCTGATGAGTCAGGAGGCTCCCAGCTGCTCTTTGCCTTTGTATGGAATGGTTTTTCTCAGAGAAAATCAAATCTATTAAAAGCTACATCAAGTTAAGTGTCTTGAAATTTACTCTCTCACTTGCTGATATTTAGAAGAAATGTAGCCAGGCTGTGCCTCAAGAACATGGAAAACACAGGATTTCATTCCCTAGCAGCTTATTTGGAAATACAGCAGGAAAATGCAGTTACATACAATAATGGAATTCTATGTATCCTTTAGTGTTACAAATAATCAATAAAGTATCAGACATGAGAGAAGATTGAAGTCAGGATATTTACTACACAGACACTCTACAAGATATAAAGCATAAGGCCAAGGGACCTGAGGATTCAAGGTTAATGAGCACTAGAAAAGTGTGTGGGCTACACTCACTCAGGAAACACAGAAACCAAGAGAGCAAAATACAGCAAGTGACATTCAAAAGCACTCCTTATCAGAACACTGAAACAAATTAACATGTTTGGCAATAATTTCTGAGATCCTCCTTACCTCTTTCAAATGCATTTTTTATGTCATTGACTTCAACTTGTGACCCAGACACTCTGAATATTCCTTCATGCTGCAAACCTGCAAGACAATAAGAGATGTTGGCAACAGTAAGACAAAAGAAGCTGGCCCATTCATCAGCTACAGCACATAGGATAAAGGAAACCTGAGCATTACAGGTAAAAATACACTGTTTTAAAAGCTGTCTTTTCCTTCCATGTCCAGACACATCCAGAATATGTAAAACCAGACCCCAGCCCCATGCAGAAAAAATATTAACCCTTCGTCACAAACTGACAGCATAACTGGGTTATAACAGCCACAAATGTTGTCTTTTACCCTGAAGGATCCCCTAAGGATTTTATAACCCAGAGAAAGTCATAAACTAACAGTACATCAGCCACAAGTAAAATATGGCTAACTCCACAATGAAGCAGTTTATTTTGCAAGAGCCATTTCAACAAGGCCCAGAGCAAATCAGCCCATTGAAACGGAAGCGTTTAATTACCCCAGCATGACCTGCTAGCTGGGGTTTTAGGATAGTCTTTAAGACATTCTTTTTAAGAACCAAGCATTAGCAATGTCATTAAAACCAATTACCAAGGAGGCAAGATGTTCCCATGTGCTGCTGCCACCACAGCAGTTTTGTAAGATGAGCAAGAACCGTTACCAATCAACTAATGAACAAAGCACGTGGCAAGGAAACCAACTCAGGCTCTTTCAAGCCTTTTAACTGTCAACTTCCTGAAGCAGGGAATGCAGCAACACAGACTGGTTTGGGTTGAAAGGGACCTTAAAGATCATCTAGTTCCCACCCCCCTGCATGGGCAGGGACACCTCCCACCAGCCCAGGCTGCTCCAAGCCCCATCCAACCTGCCCTTCAACACTGCCAGGAATGGGGCAGCCACAGCTTCCCTGGGCAACCTGGGCCAGGCTCTCACCATCCTCACAGCAAGGAATTTCTTCCTCATGTCGAATCTACATTTCCCCTTTTTCAGTTCTGATCCATTGTCCCTTGTCCTCTCCCTCCCTGTCCTTGTCCCAGGTCCCTCCCCAGCTTTCCTGGAGCCCCTTCAGGCACTGGAAGCTGCTCTAAGGTCTCTCTGGAGCCTTCTCTTCTCTAGGCTGAACACCCCAACTCTCCCAGCCTGTCTTGGATTATCTCTGTGGCTTCCTCTGGACTCTCTCCAGGAGTTCCACATCCTTCTTATGTAGAGGGCTCCAGAACTGGACACAGTTCTCCAGGTGGAGCTTCATGAGAGACAAGTAAAGGGGCTCTGTTATATTTATAAGAATGGCTATAAATTAATAAGCTCTCTTGAACTCATCTGTAGCCTCTTCCTTTGAATTTCTGCCACTGTTTTTACCACAAGGCAGTAAAACCTTGGCCACACGTGGCTGTGCTGTGACACACAGCTCTGAACAGTGCAAAGAAATAATCCCAAGTGCAGAGAAGCAAGAATGAAAATGACATTCACCCCACACCTACACAGCAAAACACTCTGAAATGTCAGGCTACCTCCAACCAGGCTCCTTCCTGCAGTGCCAGTGCATCAGGCAGGCAGTTTGATAATTCCTTCTGCCTAAAGTGGACTTGAACAAAATCACATTCTTTCTAATTACAAACTGTACCTGCAAGGCCATGATCTGACCTCCAGAGCAAAAATCAGTTGGCTCTGTTGGAAAATCTTTCTGTTGGGGATCTAAGCAAACCCAGGAATGAGTCTGAAAAATAAAATCTCCTGATGGCCTCAATTTGATTCACTTTGCAATGTGGTTTCAGTGATTTTTTCCAGCAAATGTGCAAGTATGGCCTTCATGAAGGATTATAGCACTTGGTTCTTCCAAGTGATGATGAGAATGGGACTCCAGATTATAGTTTCTAAAGTGGTAGTTAAACAAGGAGAATGAAACAGGACCTACTATGTGGCTCTGTGTCTTGGTTAATGAAGAAAAATTCAACCTCTTTCTAAAGATGTTAATTAACAGCTGTTTCACATGCTACTAACAAATGATACTGATGAAAATAGAAAACAAATTCCAATAAACATATACAACCATTGAGAGCATTCCAGGCTGTGAAGTTAACCTTTGAGACAGGTATAAATCATCTCACTGCAGCAGTAAGCAAGCAATTAATCCACTGCTTGACCTCTTACATTCAAATCCTTGGAGTACTCCTCCTCTAGGGAGAGCATGGTTATTGTTGGTGAACATTGCAGGGCTCAGAGTAAGGTGAGTGGAGAGAAGGAATGAGATGGGAACCTTTTTTTACAAGAAACAAAGGGATATTGTTGGAAGAACAACGTCTGCAAGGTCAGTTATTTGCAATAACCATTTTGAAAAGTGACCACACACAGAGCCAAGAAGTCAGTGATGATTTCTTTGTATTGCAGTCTCTGCACAAGCACCTTGTCCTGAGCTACTCTGAACATTTTCAGGAGGCTTCTATATCACTGCTCATTTTATAGCAACACCACATGACACCTTCTGTCCACAAACTCACCATGTCTGCTGATGAACCGTATGCAGCTCTCCACAACCAGGGGAATGGCTTGGGAGGAATCCTGTGTAAAGAGAAATGCAAACAAGAAGAGCAGTCAGGATGCAGAGTGAGGGGAGAAGTGGAGGGAAAAATGAAACATATTTTAGCTCATCAGGTACTGGAAAGTAATAGATTATCCACCACAGGCAGGAAACCAGAGGATTGCTGTGCTAAGTCTTTATTACAAGAGGGCACAACAAGTGAGTGGTTACTGGTTTAATGGCTCTGCAGTGAGATACCACTGAAAACACAGGGAAAGGGGACAAAGGAACAAGAGCACAAAACCCTTAAACTGTGATTGTCCAGACAGCTCAAGGCTGTTTGCTTTTTTTGGTTCAAGGTCTGTCAAAACACAGAGTAAAACCATTTTAAATTCTCATCAAAGCAAAGGAGTGAAGGCTGTGAATCCACGTTGTATTGATTTCAGGTACTGAACGAGCAGTTCTGCTTGAACAAGACTGAAAAGGTTCATGAAAGAGAGGGAGGGAGGATAAAAACACTTCCCCATTCTCCTTCTATCCTTCTCTGCACAAACACACACATATCCCTGGTCTGTTACTTGAGGAAATGTTAATTACCTGCTTCCGTACAGTGGAGCTGCGCCTGCCACTGAGGAGATCAGAACCACCCATTGGTGCAGGAGGGAAAAAGAGAGAGACAAGTCAAGATAATCCTCTAATACCATCATTCCCCTTCATTTGTTATTCCAAACCATCCGTATTTTGGAGGGGGGGAAGGAGCCAGATACACAAGTCAATCATAATGACTTAGTCTCGTTCAATTTACGGAACTTCAGAAAGATTTAAAGTGACTTTAAATCACTAAAAAACCTGAAATAGACACAAGGGAGTCCAGTGCTTTGACAAAAGATTACCCTTGACATTTTAATTTCAACCATATGGAAATCTGTTCCATAGGGCTCCTCGTTCAAGATGAAGTTTATTATAAATTGCACATAACACTTCCCTGAAAGAGCCACTCAACAGCAGGGAAAGGCAGGTGGGAAGGAGCTGGTTCCTCCAGTGCTGTTAACAGCTGCCAGTCTGGAATCTTTTATTAGAGTTGCTGATAAGAATTCAAGCAAATCAATAAAACAAACCCCCTTAAACCCCAGCACACACTAGCCAGGCCAAGCCTTTTCAGTATAAACCATGATGGTGTCATGTATTGATCTTGGTAGACATTAATGGTAGAGAAATAGGAAAAAGCACCTTCCTTTGCCAAGACTTTTCCCTCCAAATTTATTACTGGGTTTAAAATTCCTATAGTTTCTTGTAAAAATGAAGCATGAGAGATAATAGTAGAGAGGCCCTAATGTATCATTTGAGCCAATTCCTTGCTAGGGCAGATGGCTCCTGAATTATAAATAAGGTGATTAGAACTGGGAGTTTTAAAAAGACTGTACAATGTGTTAATTCAGGGGAAATTCCTTTTACAAAAATCAAAAACTGAATGAAAAAAAAAATAATTCAGATTCCAGGGGCTGTCACAGACAATAAGGTCTATTTTAAACTACTAGCAGTAGCAATTCTTTGATATTTAAAATTGTTTCATGATGAATAATATTTTATTATTACAGATGTCAGGCTCTAATTAGGACCTGTCAGCTTTGCTTTGCTGCAAGGAGTGTGAAAAGTAGTAAAGCCTCCAGATCAGCAGTAATCACCTTCCTTTTGTTACCCAGGCAGGATGATGCACAGCCCCTGCTCCAGCTCCTCCTGCCCAGCAGAGCCCCCTGAATCCATCCACTTGGAGATGGAGATTTGTCATGTTTTATAAAAGCCCCTCAGGAGAAGCTTAGTTATGGTTCTGTGATTGGTCCTAATTATAAATGAGAAGTTTATTCTCCATGGTCTCAATCCTGCTGCAATCCCCTTCCAGGGCAGAGCAGGGAGTGTCAATGGGATAAAGAGTTTTCTGGTTTATGTTACTCAGCCCCTACACCAACCATGGGCCAAACACTGCAGAACCATGGGCTCTTTTCCCTTGCAGATACACAAATGTGTCCATTAAAATCTTAGTTTGAAGAAGACTCTTCTGGGTGAGTGTGCCAAATGACAGTTTCTCACACCTGCCCATCCCTTCCTGATCTGGATCAAGTGCATCGGGGCAACAAAAAGTGCAGGTTCTCCTAATTTTTTTTCCTTCCCTCCCTCCCCTTGGTTATTTTGATCAGTCTGCCAGCCTGTTGCACCAGGCAGCCCTGCCAGCAGGGCTACAGCCACAGCTGTGGCAGCAGCAAGGAGAGGTGCTTTAGCAGATGCTGCATCAAAAGAAATATTAATTACTCAGCTGACCAGAGGTTACTGAGCATATGTAGAAGCTGCACCACCACCCTGCACTGATGCAGGTAATGATGGTGGTGTTTAAAGCCATATTAACTAGCAGTAATTTGGTTATATAATAGCTAAACTAGTATCTTTTTCTAACAGATACATCTCCTGGGCTGATATCTGATCTGGAATGACAGCAACCAATTTGCATCTGATTTTCCTTAAATAAATGATTCCCTGAGCCACACCTACCTGGCAAGGGAGCAGTCAGTCCTCTGGCCTGTTAAGAAGACAAAGAAATACAACATTACAAGAAAGGAACAAGAAAATACTGACAACTGCTTTGTAAAGCCAGTTTTGGAAGAGCAAACCCATCAGAGAGGGAAGGAGCAGCTCAGAGTAGCCAGACAGGGGCTGGATCCCCTGGGAACAGGCTGGGGGGACCATCCCTGCCCATCCCTGCCAGCTCAGCTCCTCCATGGCCAGCCAGGAAACACAGCAACCAGCTCAGGCTGCCCGAGGACTCTTTCTCTGGCAAGTATTGTTTTTTGAAAATTATTTCCCTGTGCATTCTAATTGTTGACTTCTGCTGCCAAAAAACTGGGCTTGTCAACCTCTCCCTCCCTCCCCCTTCCCGGGGGGATTGGTGGGGCGAGAGATTATACTTTATAAAGCCACTGACTAAGACTGAAAACATTCACAGATTTGTTAGCCCACAGACTGAACGTGCTGGCATTAAGCTATTTTGGGAGACAGACGTTTCATGGTACTTTCCACAAACATATTTACCACAACGTTCCCCTAACGCTGCGATGAGTTTTGCAAGGAAGCAGCCAAGCCAAGGACTCCTGCTCACCCAGGCAAAACAGCACAACAAGGAGTGAGAGAGACAGAAAACTACTGTGTGCCTTTGGGAATTGTGCAGGCCAGATCTTTTGCTGGCATAGATCATCATCAGTGAAACAGGCCTGAGCTACAACAGCTGAAAATTCCACCTTCCCTACAGTTTGTCTTCCTGCTCCTGGGGAGAGGGAAGAATGAAGGAGGGAAAGGTCTAATTGCTGATGGCTGACAATTAGCTGAGCACATCTCGATATCCTCTCCCCACATAAAGCCAAAACAGTGCATAATTTACATGAAAATGTTATTCTGAAGCAGAATTTCCAGCCATCTGTCCCACTCCCATCATAGAATATTCATATATATAAATTACAGGGCTGTGGCAACATCAAGGGGCTCCTACGTTAGGGTGACAAACGTGTACAGTAGGCAGGGCCATAATTACTTGTAGATAGGAAGATTTGCTGCTATTTTATTATTGGAACTTGTCATCTTTAGATTAAAGTAATTTGCAAGAGGACTAATAAACGTCACCTGAGGATGGGCAAAGAAGAATAAAATTTGTAACAAACCCATGAATTTTCCAGGGACTGAGGACATGCAGCTCTATGCACATTTTTCAGTCAAGCTTCTAACCATGCTCCAGGGACTTGTGAAAGGAATTTTATTTGCCCATTTCCCAATTAAGTGACATTTTATGGATAAGTCTAGGCACAGTCCCCAGTTTGTACCATTAACCTGCTAATGTGGGTTTGAAGACAGAATGTACCTCCCTTTCTCAGCTCCTTTTGATCTCACAGATGACAGAAGTGATTTTTTTTTCCAGAAGCTGCTGGAGCTCACCCTGACACACACTGAGTGCCTTCACAGAGTGACTAAGAAAGCTCTGGTTTGCAAAGCAACCACAAGAAAACAGAAGCAGCCTTTAAATCTACATAGCAATACAGAAATCACATTTAATTTCCTCTTCTTTTCCCCCCATCACAGCTCAAGATGGGCTCAAGGGGCAGGCAGGTTAAGAGGAAATAGGTCTCAGAATGCAGGGGTCAGCTATGATCTAGGAATCTGATTAGTCACAGGGGCAGCATGGGTGTCACTTGGAGATATTTAGAGACACTAGAAAAATACCCTTAGGACACAGATCTTTGCCTTCATCCACCCATTCTGCAGGACAGCTGAAGAGATGACCAAGTTTAAACAATAAAGCTCTAAACAATGGCAACATCCTTTTCTACCTTCTAGCAGTTTGGGTCTGATAAACATGGAAGCCTTAATTACTGAAGCAGTAAGTATTTTATTTTTATAGTGCATTTCTAAACTGAAAGTGAAGCACTTCAGAGACCACATGCTGTTTAAGTTTTCATTCAGAAGATTTGCACACCATAAACTGTGGGGAGTCCAGTTAAGTTACGTATCCAAACACAAGCCCTGATCCAGCACAGAAACCCAGCACCGAGCTGAGCCATTTTCTGACCTGACATTTAGACTGTTACAACCTTCTCCTCTGCAAATACAAGGCAAAGAGGTTTCTATGGAAACTTAGATGCATAGTTTAAGCGTGTTTGGCCAACAGGATTTGCCCATACCATGAAGGGAAGAAAACCTTCCTTTGTTCTGACACTAACAGCAAATGCATATTCAGTTCTGGCTGCTGCCCCTTCCCTAATGCCCTCTAGATAGGGAACATATTTGACATGCTCTGAAATGTGTTTGCTATTCTCCTCATAAAAGCCCATGCTCACATACATTAGTTTGGTCTGGATTGAACCCACAGAGTTTCACCCCACACAGATTATTTCAGTGAGAAGAAGAATGTGTGTGCAGGGGAGAGGACAGGATGAAGGAGTGGGCAGAAGTGATGCACATTAGTGACTCATTAAGCATTTTCCCTTCACCATTAATCAAGCAGCCATGTAGGTCACTTGGCTTCTCCATCATGCAGATCAGAAAATAAATTCATAAAACATGAGTATGTCCATGCTGCATCACTAATCCAAGACTGCTACACTCAGCTGACTAATCCCACCAGTGCAAGAGCCTAAGAACAGAGACCAGCAGGGCCCAGACTCACTTTCTCCCAAGGTCTTCTGCAGAAGGTCGTGTTTGGCTTGGAGCTTTGTTATCAGGTTCCTGCCTTCCAGATACTCCTTCATTTTCTGTGAAGGTGGGAAAAAAAACCCAAACAAGATCATGAGTGGACAAATAATTTCTTCGATTGCATCTTCAGGTTACTGGATTCTGAACATAAGGTGAAGTACAGAATTACATCAACATTTATTTTGCTAAATGAACTGACGGCACTAAACGCACATTCGGTGCTTTGATGAACAAAAGTCCTCCTGGTTTCTGTATCAAGGCAAATCTGCAGCTTGGTCCATACGTATCTGCAGTGCAATTCCTATTGTTCTACTGTGGAATCAGCTGAATGTTTGGCATCTCTTAAGACATCTGAAGCTGCCCTGCAGCTTCTCCCCAGACAGGGCGAGATGGAAACGCGCGTCACAGGCAGCTGAATGAACAATCTGTTTTAACCAACTAAAAGGCTGCTACTGTGCTTATTCTCTCACTTAACCTCTCTCACCCCACTTTACTTATCAAATAGTGTGTCTGCCTCCACGCTGGATGATACAAAGGGTTGCAGGGGGGGCAGAGGACAAAACAAATAAAGTTATTATTTAAGTTTGGGTTTGTTCTCTTGTTGCAATATTGTACAATCACCCAGTCGTTTTTCCCACTCCTTCCTGATTTTTCACAGCTCTGCAAATGCTGGTTTCTTACAGCTCTTTCATCTCTTATTTTGCAGTTGAGAGCAGCATTATTTATCTTCACCTTGCTGCAGTGCATAAAATACTCTGCTGTACAGTATCCAGCCACATGATAATTAGGACACGTTTACACTCAAAAACACATAAATAACTCACAACTCTTCAAATGCCACAGGCCATTCATTAGAATCATGAGATATTTTAAAAATTCAGCTGGGAAAATGAACACAAAGAAAGGATTCTCAACTAATAATGAAATGGTCCAGTTCTTGTCTCCAGCTTTCCTCAGTCCTATCCACTTTATTCCAGTTCTGTTCTAGTGTTGCCAAATTAGGCTGTAAATCCTTAAGGTAAAAAAAGTGGTATTTTAGTTAAGAGAATGTCTGGACTCTGAGCAATATATACATACAATAATATATATATAAAATATATACAACACAACTAAAGTTGGGGAGAAACCATCCAGGAACCACCAAAGTTTCCCTGATGGGCTCCCCAGCAATTGTGTGAACTGACAGGGCAAAAATGGCTGGGCTGAGGCTTTAATTAACTGCCAAAAGTCTGTGGTTTTGGCCCTTTGATTGACAAAACTGGAAGAAAAATTTCACAAGAATTAAGTCCCTTTGGAGAATCTCAGCACTTCCTGCTTCCTGTACTAATACTTCAGCTTCTTTTTGTTGTTGTTTTAAAAGAAAACAGGAATCGTGATCACGGGCAAAAAGAAAATTAACCATTATTTTTTTCATTACCCTGTAGAATATTTGCCAAGCCCCAATTATGTACTTTGCTAACTCAGTTACATTTTTGCATCAAAGTTTGACAGAAGAAAACATGAAGAGTTTAAGCTGCAAAAATAACCAAAGAATTTGAAGTGGGGGGTTGAGGATAAATCTGGTTCTGAGAGGTGCTGAGGAGAGAGAGAAGTGCTAGAAGGCTCAGCTCCAAATAACTCAAAGAGAAGCTTAAAGATCAGCAAATCAACTAGATTTGGCAGAGAATTAAGCTCCCCTTTGAAGCAGATAGGAAACCTCAGCCCAGGAGGCTGCAGCTGGGCACTCGCAGGTGCTCCTGCTTTGGGGCACTTGCAGCAGGGACACCAGAACATTTCCTGCCTCCAGAGGTACCAGGGATTGTTCTACAGGAGAAGAAGATATGGTTCCTATCCAGGGATTCCTATTCCATGTGTTCTTTCTATTTCCTCATGCCTAACATTCTGTACCCTGCCTGTCACCAGTGTGCTCATGAAAAAAGATAGAATTTCAAAATAAGGCTTCAGGCTTTCTTTGATGAATTACAAAGATGTGCTAGTGTTTGATTTCTGGCTTAATAAAGGCAGTCAAGAAAAAAAAAAAAAATCAAACTACAGGAGTGCTCCTTAGGATTTGGTTTCTGGCAGGGAACAGCTAGAGTCAGACTGAGCACAATCAGACACAAAGCAGTAGAAACTGCCTCAAGTCACATTATTTCCACAATATAAAAATTAAGAGGTGAGGATCTGTTGCTAGCCAGAGACAGTGAGCCTTGTGCACCTTGTGCACCTTCTCAAAACCACTTTGACATCCTCTCCAAGGCCAAACTCATTGCCATATTATTCCAGTGAGAACCAGTGACCTGGTGAAAAACACAAGGCAGTGAAATGCAAACCTGACCATACCCTCCTGCCTTGTGGGGAAGGAGATCTTTTGCTTTTGAGGCTCTAAAGAAAAACAGCTCCTGTCACTACCCTGCATCCTTAAGTGTCTCCAATCTGGAAAGCTCAGCAGTTTTCCTCCCTCCCTCTGCTTCTCAAGAATGACTTCAAACAAGACACTCCATTGAAGGGCTGGAGAGTCGGATCCTGGCTCCTCTGCACCCTTCTCCTGATGGAATGTGGGAACAGCAGCACATTGACACAGCCAGCGGGGTGTTTCTGTCTGACTGACGAGCAGGGGGACTTTCTGTAATACTCTCCCACATCTTAAGGGTTTGGTAACAATACATTTGCATTCAGTTTTCAAGCATCTCACAGAACAAGCATTGCACTGGGCTTCATCTTTCTAAAGGAAAAAAAAATAACACTTCGACTAAGAACTAAGTTATCCTGCTTTAGAGGGAAAAGGAATCAAATCATCCATTCCCCTTTTCATGCCTCAGGCAGGGCACAGAGCCAGCTCTACTCCACTGAGCAGTACAATCCCAGCTCTGCAGGCATCCTCACACTAGCTGCTATCTTGTTGGCCCAAGAAGCAGGAGAATCGCCAGGGCAGCAGCAGCACCACCCGCCCACCAGGCACCCAGGACACATCTCCAGATTTCAGCTCCCCCAAGTCACTGCTGCTTCCTTGCTTCAGCTCCCTGTGTTAGCTCAGTGCTAAGTCAATCACCCTTCCTATGCTCTTCATTGACATGGGGAAGCTTTAAGCTTCTACTCTGAATACAAACCTCCCTTCAAACCCGGGTAGCAGAGCTGTCTGGGCACCCGTGTGCCATGATAAGCCTCTAGTGGAAAAGCAGCTTCTATCAGCATGGGGACACCACTCCCTGCTCCTTCCACCACATTCCCATGGTGGTGGCATCACTCTCTTTACCTAAGAGCTCTGCCTAGCAAAGCAGTACCTGTGGAATATTCTTTCAAATTGGTGTTTTGCTTCCAGTTCATACCCCTCAGCTTTTAGCACATGAGAGGGCACGAGGGGATTTTAATCTCTGTTCTGCACTAGGCTTTGTTTTTCCACACACACAAAGAAAGCCCATAGTGCTGCCCTGCTCTGCCCTCAGCCTCATTCATACTCATCTGAGCATTTCCTCATACATTAAAAAACATCTCCTTGTAGATTCAAAGCTTGAAAAATCCTCATCAAGGATATTTCTAAGCCTGGTCGATAGCAGATCAATCAAGCATCTGATTGTGCTGGTTCACAGGGGCCCCCACCAACAGCTTTGCTCTGTTGATAGTTATTTTTCCCATGTTGTGCAGGACATGACAGGTTGCACCTCTGCTCACTGAGACAGCTCTGCAGCCCTGCTGGGACCTCAGTGCTCTGCAGCACTAACAAGATGGAACAGAAAAACATCACATCCAAATAACATCCTGGGCTCAGCCTCTCATTTGAACTTAATATAGTCCCCCTCTAGAGAGGGAACACTTAAGAGTTCAATTAAAAATCATTTTGTCTAGTTTCATAACCCTGGGCAGGATGGTCAAACCCTTCTTAATTCAATCAGTTTCTCCACCCTCTTTCTCCACAGCCAGTTACCACCTTCTGTGGCAGCTCTTTAATTAAGTCAAAGCCTGACTGAAACCATCCTGCCAGGTGGTGTCATTTGCACAGAAACTTCAGACCTGTAACAATAATTCCTCTTTCTTGGAAGAGGTATGTAAAGGGCTTTGAGTATAGCAAAGGATGCCCAAAGGAATGACAAAGTAACCAGAATAAGAAGTATGATTTTTATCTGCTATTTTGAAATATTTTTAAAATGAAAACAAACTCAGTTTAGCACATACCTAACTCAGGAAAAAACATACAGGCTGCTATGAAATTCAATATGAAAAGCTCTTAACATCTTGTAAAAATGGGCTGACTCAATTAGAAGCTTATGTGAGCTGAAATATTAAGATAACAAAAATGTGAAAGAGGTAAATGCTTTTTTAGTTTGTATTACTTTTGAAAATTGATACTTACAAGCTGTTAAGTTCTGTCTCAGGCAATTCCTTTTCAGATGTAGATGAAATTAAATTTAACACAATTTACACACAAACTAAACCTGCATCAGCAGAGCTCTCCCAATACATTGGTGAAGAATTCAAAGCCCCTGCTTTTCAAACCTCATACACTTACTCTGCTTGTCCAAAATCAATTACAGAAGCATTTTTGCAAGATGATAACATCATTTTGTACTCTCTCGTGAGTCTAATTCTAAATACAATGTATGTGCTCACACTGAAAATGAAGTGCTTACTGTGAAATAGAACTGCTCTGTCTCCTGCTGGTTGGCCCGTCTCTTGGCAATGCTGGGTTTGCTCATGAACGTTTCCGAGACAGTGGATTTCACAGACTCCATGGAGTTGCTGTACTGAAAGCAGTCAGAGACATCAAAGTCCTCTATTGTGACTATATCCTGGATTGTCTGGAGTGTAGCTTCCATAGTCTTCTTAACCTGTCCAGCAACAACACGAGTACTTAAAAAACGAAGGCAGCACATTGCAAGTAAAAACCAGAGGTGGTAGGTGTGCTGGAGCATTTACTAATGAACAGACATCACTGGTTTCACATCCTGTGTGCATCACTAAGGTATTAGTTTTGCTCATTAACAGCACAGTCCATGCAAACAAAGGGCTGGCAGCACATAGAACCTGCCAGGAGTAGGGAAACAATTGGAATCTTACAGGCTGGGATGAGGAGGAGATGTAGGAAAATTTACCCTCCAAGTAAAGACTGCTGGAACCAAGATGGTATCATCATCTTCTGAAACTGCACTTCCTGGGCCTCAAATGTTAGATATTAAAAATAGGGCTTCAGGGCACTTTAAATTTTTACTGAAGGACAGAACCAACTTCTTAGATATAAAGAAGTTGCAAATTTTGCCCAAGGAGGATTAAAAACTCTTGGACACTGAGATGCAGATCACGTACTTTGACCTGTTCCCCAACAAATGCCATTGACCCAGTCTTCTCATCTTAGGTGACCAATTAAACAAAAATTAGCTCTTACCTTAGATCATGTAAATTCACTGTCTTCACTTCAAAACATTAAATCCCTCTTTTTCTCTTAGCTATCCCAGTACAACTTCTGCAGCATAGCCAGCCCTGTCAACCCAAGGCTGGGAAGGCAGATATGTGCAGGTATTTTAAAGGATCCTCTCCTTGTCCCCAGCTTTCATGCAGGATCACACACCAATCTACTGCTTGGCCTCAGCTGCTTTATTCTTGAATTTTACCACAAGTCTTCACAAAAAAAGGATCACAGCAACTACATTCTTCCTGCTGGAAGTGGTAAGAGGGTTGTTGATTTTTGGTTGATTAGCTCACCTCTTCATTTTCAATTTTCAGTGTAGATAATCTGGACTGCAGTTGCTGGCACCTCTGCACTAACTCACTCTGGACTGGCTGCTGGGCACATAGCTGTGACTCCTGAAAGAGAAACAGCAGAGCTTTTAGAGGGCCAGGGAAAAAAAAAATCACAATCAAAACCACTGCAATTGTGTCATTCAATTATTATATTATTTGTAGCCCTGGATTTCAACCAGTGGAAAAGGTCCATGTTCTAGTAAAGTGCAGTTCCCTTCCTGAAAAGTGACCAATAAAGAGAGAACACTAACATAAAAGAGCAAGAAAAAATGAGCTACTTTCAGTAATGTAAGCTCCTTGTGTATCCTGGAAGTCCAAAGGTGCTTTAATCACAGATACTGGCTAAATCATGCTGCACATCAAGAGGAATTTGGTTCAATGCATTAGCCAGGCATCCTGGGGCAGGGTATGAGTGGCTGACCTTGCTCAGCTGAATTACCTGGACAATACAGCAGCAGAAACAATTCACTAGTTAATGAATTCAGTGGAGTAGAAATAAAAACAGAACAGGTTAGAGATCTGTCCACTATGCCAGAGCCTCCCTGTATGGTTAGTCATTCCACAACATGAGGCAGCTTCTCATTTCAGCTTTGTTTTGTTGCTTTGTTTGTTTGTTTTCTAAAAAAGAAAACACTGACCTCACTGCACAAGGCAATGTTTAAAGACAGAAATTGCAATTGGATTTTATCACACAGATGCACGTCCACCATCATCTATTCCATCTGCCACATGCCAGACCATTGCAAACTATCAGCCTGCATTTATAAACACTCCTGCAGTGTTGAGAAGAGCTAAGATAAACGATGCAGAGAACGTGAGCTGTTAACTGAATGACAGGCTGCAGGTAATTCTTTTTCTTCCCACGATCTTACAGGATACTCTCAAAGCACAGAAAAAATGAGAAAAGTAATTTGCAGTCTGAGGGTTTCACTTAAGAGGGAAGAGACAAAAGCCTTAAGCAACGATGGGAAGAAGAGCCTGGCTGCAAGAAACCCCCCTTATAGTTCTTCCTCAGTGTTCAGGAAGGTCATAGAATCACAGAATCACAGAATCCTAGGGCTTGGAATCATCTAGAAATGCAACCTGTTGACCTAAATTACTACATTGTACATGTGTTCCCGTTTAGATTTGTGAACTGGTTTCAGCTTGTGTGACTCTAAACAGTTCCCAGATGAGCAACCACATCTTGATAAACCTATGAAGACACAGATGCTCACTGCCAAAAAGGAAAGCCCTCCAACTACCTTGTCTCACGATGAAGATGCATAAAGCACCACTATAAACTGTCTGAGCTCTAAGATTCCACACTCAAATGCCTCAAGACCCAGCATTTTAGTTTCTTATCTTGTTACCCCTTCAAATCTCTACCTGCAGAGTCTGTCAGTGGTTGCAGGGATTGGTGTGGGTTGAATGGGAGGTTAAAATTGTGCTTCTTATTTACACTTAGTATTGTATCTAATTAAGCATTTTCACCTTCAGTAAGTTTGATAATCAAAAAGAGTCAAATTCAGCCATCTGTGCCATGAGTCTCTGCTTAATCTTTGCCTCAGCTCCCCTTCCTGACGCTCCCCCTCTACCTCCCAAACCCAGAGCCAAACAGGTGGCCTTTTAGTGGGTCAAAGACATGCGAAGCAAACAGGCAGGGCTGCAAGTGTTTACAGAGCTGGAGGAGGAACATAAACTGACCATGTCGCCCATATGGGGCTGAAACTCGAACTTCATGGGAGGGCAGAAGACATTGTTGTACATCTCCATCAGGCGCTGCTTGTCGCTGTTGGCGTCCAGGTTCTCCACGGCGTTCTCGATGGCGTCCAGCCCCTCGTGCTTCGACTGCTCCAGGTTGAGCTCAGCAGACAAGAATGTCCTGAGAGCTCTGTTGAGGCTAGCGTGGTATCCCAGGTCACAACACTGCTGGAAAAACACACACAATTCTATATGAATGAGTGAAGGAATTCTGGAATGGAAATTTTCAATGTTTCCAAAGCCAGAAGTTACATAAATGGATAATGAGTTATGGATATTTTATCAGCTTCTCAGTACCAGTGGGGTCTCACATCTCTCACTGCTTGCAAAGGCATCATCTGGACTACTGGTCCTCAGAGCTGGCCCTAAACAGAACTCTCAACCTATAATCCCATACAAATGTCAACACCAGGTTACAACCAGCTGCCAAGACAAGTACAGCTGCAATTATTGTAACACTTTGGAGAGGTCTCATGGAGCACGAGAGGCTTCATTTCATGCTGTTAAAACAAAGTACCCCAGAAGTGTGTATGTTCAGCAGTATGGCAGAGCATTTATTTAAATTCTAACCTGTTCAGTGCTTAGGAGCACTGAACAGACTCCAAAATCCTTATATACAATGATTCACAGAGGGAAACACAGACATCAAGCACTACCTGAAGAAACAAGGCACAGAACCTGGAGCACCTGCCAAGTTTAACCTGCAGCTTAAGAATTCCACCCAAACAGAAAACTGCTGGATTCAGTGAACTTCAGGAAGCAAGAACATGACCTGTACATCCCAGGCACTAAGAACAGAGTCATCCAAAAAGCAGCGATCGGCTGGGATGACTTCATTGCTGGGGTGAAACACAAGAGCAAAAACTTGAAAGTTGTTTTGTGTTGGGTTTTGTGTTGGTTTTTTTTTTTCAAGCAGAAAGTGGCCGTGGTCAAGAATTTCCTGGCTCTTACTGACTGATGATGTCACTGGAAGACAATCAAGCAGCTTCATCTCCACCATGGCTGAGTAGCCAAGTCTTAATGTTTCAGAAGGGAGAAAGGAGTTTTTCATTAGCTGATCAGAAACAGCCTGAATTTTTCAGACATCTACTAAAGTGAGGAGGGAGAAGGAGCCCACCTTCTTGCAATTACAAGCAAGATTACATATGCTAGGAGAATATCCAAGAAGAAAGAGACCATCTGCTTGATTGCTGTGCTGCTCTGTAAGCAAAATTCACATGAAATCTCCTCCTCACCCATCATTTGGGTCTCATCATTGTCATTGTGTGTGAAGGGAAAAAAAGAAAAAGAAAAAGGAGGGGAAAGAGGAGGAATGGAGGGAGGAGACAGAAGGGAGAGCAACTACTGGACCATTCCCTGCTTTCCCAGAATTTCTGTCTCCAAGTGCTGCAGGATGCCTGGCTCCTGTGCCAACAAGCTGTGGCAGGTGTGGAGTCTTGTAAAAAGAGCTGCAGTTGCTGGTTAGGCTGGAGGCAGAGAATCCAAGGACATTTAATTCAATCAGAAAGAACAAAATCTCGCCAAAAACCAAACAAAAGATGCTTGATTGAGAATTTGCATGTGTGGAGGCAGCCTTGGATCAACAGCCACTCGCAGTTCCTGCTCATCAGTGCCATCCTCTGCAGTAATTTGGGGAGAGCAAGTCCCAGTTGGGCCACCAGTCCAAGCAGGATTAGGATCAGCTTGGATTTAAGTGGAGCAGTCACCCCTTTCCCCCTCCCACTGTGGGCCAGAGGGTTGCATCCCCACCCAGGGTGACCAGCTTGTCCTCCCTGTGCTCACCCTCCTCCAGCACCCATCTGTGTCCACAAGGAAAGCTGAGCTGTTGGGACTGGGAAAGTCAAATGGGATTTAATATTTTACAGCCCCCTCCCCTTGCTGAGCAGCAGGACTACATTAAGAGAGCAAAGTTTTGCAGCTTTACGTTATTGAAGCCCATGACAGAAAACATTTTTCAGCCCACTCCCCCACTTTAACATTTTTTGAAGTCCAGTGGAGTGTATTTAGAGATGTATCAGTCCTGCCATCCCTTTGCTGGGTTATATAAATGTTTGATGGAATCATTCTCCAAGGAAATCAATTCTTTATAAGAATTTAATGATAACTCCTTCAAATTCACTTCCCAGCACAACAGCTGATTAACCCTTTGCCAGACAGGAGGTTTTAAGATTTAAGAAGCAGCAGCCTAATGCTTTAAAATGCAATTTACATTTGGAAGAGAAAGCATGAGCTCCTGGAGTAAATAGCAGCAATATACCTGTCCTAGGAGAGCACAGGAAGATACAGGACTCACACATACCCATAAGTTCATCTTTTTTTTTTTTTCAATTTTGTCCTAGTGACCCTTTCATAAATAAGAGTTAATACAAACTTCCCCATTACTGTAATATTTCATTAGCATCAAAGAGCTGCCTCAGTCCCCAAAGTCAGGAAATTCAAAACTACTAGGCTATGTCAGGAACAATTTATTGCTCTTAACTCACAATGGAAAATTAGCTCCCTGTTATCCTTCCATGCACACTGGAGGGGTAACACAATGTGTTGTATAAACATGACAAGTTTAATGCCACTTGGCCTAACACAATCTACTTGTAACTTTGAAGATTGCTTTTATATTATATTTCAAAATTCAATATAATCAAATTATTAGATCAAGGAAAAGAATTAGGACCTGGCTTAAAAATGACATTTTTATTTAAGTCAGATGCTTCAGATAAACATCACTGGTTAGAATTGTTAATTTTTAATCCTTCAGATCAAAGGCATTAGTAAATCTATATTCCCCACCATCTTAACAAGGAGATAACTGAATTCCATTTCCTCAGCTCCCAGGCAAGTCCCATATTTTTCCATGCATCTGAAAACAGAGATTACACTTTTCTTTCCAAGATTATGAGAACTTGCAATGTAGTGTGAAACTGGAAGCTTTAAGGAACACAAGGGGATTCACATGGACATGGAACCAGACAGCTCCTCTCTAGGAACAGGGACAAATCCCTGTATCAGAAGTTTGTCTTGCACCACTACCTGCCATGCCCAGAGAGAGCTGAGAGGGGCACTGCCTTCCCAGCTGGGTATTATCCCAATGGATAACTTAAGAGATCACAGGTCTATGCTTGAAAATTGTTATGGGTATGAAATCCAAATGGATTCTTTAGCTATGTGACTCATGTACCTGCACTAAGAACAGTCAGACAACTGAACTGAACACATTTGCAGTAACTGGGGAAGGACTTACAGGGAAGATTCTGAAAGAAAAAAATGCAGACAATTCAATGATGCTGATGTCCAGGAAATGAGTCCCTATCTAGTCCTTTTCAATCTAAAAATACACAGAAAGTTACCTTTTTTGTAACGCACAGATGGCACAATTCAAGCTGAGCAAATGTCAACCAAAAAAGGTCTCCTAAGCAGGAGCAGGGACAAACAAAACTTACATCTTCACTGCAGCCATTTTGCAAAAGCTGACACATTGCAGTAACAGTATTCCTGAAAACCATCAAGCTCTGTCAATCCTGACCTCCAAAGGACAAGCTTAAATAAATACCCAGCAGAAGTGCACTTCATGTGATTTTATGATGAGCAGAATAAATGTATTATACATACAGTTAGGTATTATGATAGCTGACTAATTAATAGTGATCTGAGTGCTCTTTATTGCCTGTGTCTAGAGACACTTCTGTTCATTACTGCCCCCTCCTACAAAGCAAGTTCCCTTCAGGCTTTGCAGCTGAGTGTTTCTAGCAGGGGCAGCAGAAGGGCTGTCCTTGGCAAGCACAGTAAGATCAAGCAACAGTCAGTGACCCAAACACAATGTGTTCAGTGCATTTGCTCCTCTAGTTCTGCAGGCTGAGGTGGGGATGGTGAAAAATCTCAGGATTCCCCACTGGCAATTTGGAGTTTTCAATGAAGAGAGACTGGGAGCTTTTTGCTGTGCATTTTGCTCAGAACTGATGCCCCATGAATACAACAGTTCTTCATTCAGCTGCAGAGCAGCTTTCATTAACCTTGAAATACCTGGAATTTTTCAAAACAAGCTAAAAGCACCTTTAAAAAATGCTTCTTTCCTCATTTATTTTACCAACTGGCATACTGCTGTGCTTCTGAGTTATAATATTGAGGGTTTTGCTTAAAACAGTAAATAAGAGAATGTCAAGCAACACTGTGATACTGAAACTGGGTTTCATTTTAACTAAGCAGCTCCTCCTACACGTTTCAATGCCAGGTTTCTTGTGCAACAGCCCCCCAGCCACCTAAGAAAAGCTCAGTTAAGAGCTTCATGCTCAATTATCACGCCTGTTGGTCCCCTCCAAGCTGCCCACCCAAGACCCTCCCTCCTCAGCTGTACAGAGGTGACCAGGTATTTAGGATGTTGAGGAAGGAGAGGCACACGCGAGGGTTAATGACAATGATATTCATTGCAGGCACCCAAGCAGCAGCACTTACATCAATGAGATCAGACAGGTCATGAATGTAATACTTGAATACAGATGCATTGGTGGCTTCCAGAGCGAGCAGATACTCATTTCTTGCCTTAATTGCCTTCAGCCTGTTCTCTGTGTACTTTGCTTGCCTCTGGGAGAGGGGGAAAAAACAGAATGCACTGTGAGGAGGTGCAGCAGGAGCAGCAGCACCCTTGGCAACACCAGTGTGCTGAACAAACCTAACCCTGCTCACATGGTTTGTGTTCATTTGGGTTCCAGTTTTATCAAGACTCAAAGACTTTTAATTTAGATGAACTATTTAGATGTTTTTAAGCATTACTGTGCCAGACAGCTTTGTATGTAAGGTCTGAAAACAGACTGGAAGTTGGGGAAGATTAAGGGAAGAATTACAACCCAGCTCCAGCACTTCCAGAGAGGGTGTCACAGGCACTCCAGCTCTTCCAGCAGAAATTAGGCCTAAACTTGGTCCTTTCAGAGCCTCAATCAAAAATAACTCTTCACCTTCTATTAGCTTGAATATTATCAAGTAATACTAATTACCAAGTACTTGAGTATTGCCAAACTGCTTAACTGACTGGCCAACTGCTAAGGCAACTGGCTCTGCCTGTGAAGTCAATTTGTGATTGCACATCTCCCTGCAGATTTAACACTGGCAACAAATGGTAAACAAAAACCTTGTGCTTTGTACAGGAACAAAACACATTAACCAGGACTTCCAGGCAGGCAGTTGTTACCTTCACAGTGACACCTCGTGTCAGCTTTCTGTGCCATGCCTGCATCACCTGGGGTTAACCCAAAATGCAAACCTGACTGTCCTAAAACCTGCTGCTGGCTTTTGTCTTTCCCAGATCTGAACATTTAAAACTTGTCCAAAAACCGAGACTTGCATTCGAACGTCACAGAAGAGGGAACTTGGTGAGCCCTGTGCTGAACCACTGCCCAGGTGCCCCCTCTGCCCTCCCCAGGCAGCAGCCAGGCTCTGGTTGTACCTTCTCCTTCATCTTCTCTATTTTTTTGACAGAGCTTCGTCGAACGTGTTTTTCTTCAAACTTGACGTTGGAAGTTGAGTCAGGGGAGCGTGGTGTCTGCTTGTCCTCCTGCTTCACTGACTTCCCAATCTGCTTTTCTTCCTGTTTCTCTGCCTCTTTCAGCTTGCTCTGGGCACTAATGCTGTCAGCGTTGTACATGTGGTAGGTTTTCATGACCTGCAGAAAATGACACACAAGAGTCAGAGGCACAGCTCCATTTGCTGGGTTTACCTGGCCCACAAACCAGGATACAGATGTTTCTTTAAATGCAAGCCCAGGTCTCAGGGAAAACAGTATATCTATGCATGTAACAGAAATAGATATAGATATACACACACACACACCTGGAAAGCTCACAGGATAGGAGGAAAGAAAAAATCCTAAGAAACAAGGCACATGCTGCAACACCTTTTTTATTTGGCCAATGCACTCCCCAAACTGTAACCTGCTTTAGCATAACTTGACTTTTGACAAGGGCTTGTACTGAGAGGACAGTGGATTAAAACTAGAAGAAGGGAGATTTAGTTTGGACAAGAGGAGGAAATTCTTTGCTGTCAGGGTGGTGACACCCTGGCCCAGGTTGCCCAGAGAAGCTGTGGCTGCCCCATCCCTGGCAGTGTTGAAGGGCAGGTTGGATGGGGCTTGGAGCAGCCTGGGCTGGTGGGAGGTGTCCCTGCCCATGCAGGGGGGTGGGACTGGATGATCTTTAAGATCCCTTCCAACCCAAACCAGTCCATGATTCTATGATAACCATTTCCTAATAGCCTTCCATCATGTTTATATTAAATGCAGGACATTATACTAAGTAGAGGCATTTGGACAGTCAGAGCTGATTTCCAGTTGGGAGTTAGAAATATATAAACCAGCAAAATACTCAGGGAAATGTCACATCTCAAAAAAGCATGATGGAGGATGCACAGATGAAAGTGGCTCTCAAAATGCATCGGAAATCTGAAATCAAAGTGGATTATTTTGCAGCTGCTTCTTTGTTTAACTTCGGCACGTGCCTTCTTGTACACAACCCAATAAAGGAGTCATAAAACCCAGAAAAGGCACAGACTAAATCCAGCCTCCTTACTATTCAAAGAAAAGCATATGCCAATGTTGGAAAATGATAGCTTTTCATCAGCAGGTAGGGTTTCAGAAGGGATGCCCATCAGTCTGTCATCTGGATGAATCAGTCCTTTAAACACCACAAACCTCAAGGAACTGTGTGCAAATCAAGTCTGAACACACCGGCTGCAAAGCAGCTCAGGCTTGATTTGCTTACATCAAATTTGAGATTAAAAAGCACTTCTGTTTACCTTATGTCATAAAAATAGTAATAAAAGAGTGTGGTTCTTTTGCTCAGGGAGACCTGGTCCCTGAGCAAATGGACAACTTTTATAATAGCACCATTTTTATAAATAACTCCAGATAAATATCCCCCAAAGTCACAAAATACCCAACACCAACCCAAACACTATTTGTTTCACAGGATATTAATGTCTAGCTTTCTGTTAAGAAAGCAGAACCAAAAAAACCCCCAAAGGGTAAGATACATCAACTGGATTTTTTTTATCCAAAATTACAAAGCAATTTAATTCACACACAGACACCAAAGCAAACACGATTATGTTATCTTGATAGAGGGCCAAAAAAAATAATGCAGAGCTGCATAAAGACACCCCAACAGTGTCCTTGCAGGATTAACCAAGACCCCACTTGCAGATCATTTATTTTAGATTAAAATCCATTTATACCTGTTTCACCTCAGTTTGAACCGTACCCATAACTCTAGATGAGCAGGACACATGCTCTCTCCTCACGCAGTGATCAGCAAAGGATCTCAGATACAAAGACATGTTGTATTTAAACATGAAAGAGAATGTGAACCCAGCCAATATTAGAGAGAGACTTTCTGAATAATTTACACACACACTTTCAGCTCCTGCATCTGCTTAGACTATAAAGCAGGCATTTATAATAATAGATGCAAAGTAGTTTCTCTTCCTGCATCGCTGAAAGTGGAACTGGCAGAAAGCAAGAGAGGCAGAAAAAAAGATTTAAAAAATGACAATTGTAATTATTTTATCCTGCTGATTATGCCAGATTGGTAACCAGGAGCTGTGCCTGCCCTGGGTTGGGAGGGGGTCACTGAGTCTGCTGAGGGCAGGGACTGATTGCAGGGACAACTCAGGGCAAAAACTTAGAGGTTATAACAATCCTCTGTATTTTATCTGTATAGGGAAACTAAAGACTTCTCATGGGCACCCATTTCGCCTGAAAATAGGGATTCTGCCAATTCATTAAATACCCTGCAGAAAAAAAGAACAGGTGGAAGTATTTCAAAAAGTACCAATAAAAGCAATCCTACCAGTGATTAAATAGAGTCAATTAAGAAATATATTTTAATATGATCAGCAGAACCAGCTTTTTTAAAGGCAAGAACATTTTCTGGTGATGAGGCAATTTAAAAATGTACATCAGAAGGAATGAATAAATAGATTTCAAGCTCCTGGCACTGACATTAAAAAAGTTAATACCCCACATAGCTTTGTTAATCAAAGGCTGAATCCTGGAAGATCTTCCAGTAATAGAGAAATTACCAGGACTCAGTATTTGGCTCAATGACCTGTCAGAGACTGAAATGACTACACAGGACTGTGTAAACTCCACTAACCAGCCACCTTATCCACTGAAGTACCATGTGAACTTGGCTTAGAACTAAATCTCAGTTCCTAAAAGTCTGTGTTTTGAGACAGGCCCGTATTCCTCCCCAGGATCCCATCCAAGTACATGACTCATAAGTTGAATCAGATTGTGCCCTCCAATAAAAAATAATTTCCAGAGTAGGCAGCACTGATGACAGGCACTGCTACATTTACAAAGCCACCTTCACAGCCCAGGGACGTTGTCTGCCTTTCAGGAACACCAGCACAACAGAGTCTGCTCGTCCCCTTGGCAGCCAAGGCTGCACGAGCAACCAGAGCCACAGCACATGGAACCACAGGGCAGCTTCCAAGTGCCTCCAGCTCCCACCAGGCTCCTGCTTGGCTTTCCCACTGAGGAACACAAACCCTCTCTGCTCCCAGAAGAGACTCAGTAATGCTAAACACTCAAATGCAGAAAAGGAGCAAAAATCCTAAACTGGATTCCCAGTCTCTCCTCTTCTTCCACTGCAGCAGCCAGAACATTGGTACATAATGAATCCTCTTCCCCTCTTCCTGAGCTCCCTTTTTTCTAAACAGATCAGTCTGAGTATTTGGCTTTGATGGTCTCATGAAACAAATCCCTTCTATACATTATGCTGATACAGGAAATTTCAGGGAAGCCCCTCCTCATACTCTAGCATTGATATTAATACTGAATTTCATCACCAGGTTGATATGTCACAGCTTGAGAAACATCCCTGGATCATCTGTTGAAAGAATGAAGGAAAGAACATGGACCTCAGCATAACAACCCAACATGTCATTAGGGAAGGACCAAAGACAAGACATTTTGAGCAACAAAACCATGGGTAGGTTCTGCTTTTAAGAGAGAACTACTTCACTAACAGCTGCAGACAGCAAAAATCTGACCAAACAACAGGCCCTTCCATCCACCTACATGAGGAGAAAAATCCCCAAGCTGCACATGAACTTTTATGAACACATTCCTTCTTCCCAAGGCAATGCCTCTCTTGGTGTCTCCAATGGATTTACTGAGAAGCAAAAGCACATATGAAGACTATTACTTTAAAGGGAGCTGTTTTATGAAAGAGTTGAGAAACAAACACACAGTGGGTCCCCCTGCTGCAGCCCTGTGCTGCCTTTTGTGTGCTCAGACCACACAAAAACACAGACTGAAGAATTTTAGCATATTTGGAAAGACTTCTCACATCTCTTACTCTTTTTAAAACCAACACTGCAGCTAGTAGCATGTGTGAGCTAAGGTGAGATCCTTGAAAAGTGGAGCCAACACTTCCAGAGCTGGAACAATGTAAGGATAGAGCAAAAGAAGTGAGATTTATGATGAACACAAACTGCCTCAAACTGCACAGGCTGCAGACATTCATCAGTCTTGGGGCTTAGTCTCTGCTGTAGCAGCAGACTGGGAGAAGTCAAACACTTCTTCCTTCTGTCTGAAAAGATGCCAAGAAGTCAGTTTGATTTACCGTGTAGAGTTCATTCAAGACCTTCATCAAGTCTTCCTGGAGCTGCAATCCCACTTCCTTGCTCTGCAACAAAACAGAGAAATGAAAGTTAATTGGGGAAGACGATCAAATGGCAGAAGAAGTGAACATGCTCCTTGTCTACAAAAAGATGAGGTTCAATTAAAGACTGCTATTTATGCTGGCAAATCCAGTAACTGCTCAGCCCAGAGCCACTTATGGTCAAATTGCACACACAGTATTAATAAACTGAAATGTTACACATGCACAGTCTGAAGGGTCTCACAGTGTGCAGGCAGGGAAATCCCCAGGGGACATAGGATTTTCCACATTACAAGCCTGGAAACACATGGATTTGCCCATCTCAGCAGGATCAAGCAAGACTGTCAATATAGGACAGCTTGGCATACCCTGGAATATGGAAGTTGAAGAAAAGCAGGGTAAGAAAGGCAACAAGAATGAACTTCCTTTACTGAATGTTGTGTCACAAAACAGGCAATACTTCAGTTTTCCTATTATTGAGCACACCATCCCTGTCCATGTATTTACTTCTTTAGTTTTGTAGGATAAAGCTCCTCAGAATTAAAGAAAAATACAACTATGTGCTGTCAGATGCACAATCTCTCCTTTGAGTCTCTGCAAGATTTACCAAAAGTTCACATCTCCTTCCACAGGCACCAGAACAGCACGTCACACCCTGGAGCCTCCCCTGGCAAATGTGCCTTCACTTCTGTGTTTTATCACCAGAGCTACAAAAAGAACCATCACTTCAACATTAAAATAAAATAATAGAAAAATTCTTCTCCATGCATACATTCCCATTTCCAATTTTAGATGAATAAAGGTTTAAGCAATTGGATTTTCTCTTTTTTGACTACAATAATTTAACCATATCAACAGAAATGACTCTGTCCTGGGCAACACGTGAGTTGTCCAGTTAAACCAAGGACTGTGAGACTCATAAACTTCTTTCCTTCACTAAAACAACTGAATGAGGGGGGGGGAAAAAGTGCAGATGGATATGACTGGTTGTCAGAACTAGCTGACAGCTGAATTTGCCTGCAGCCAAGTGCCAGGTTTTAAAAATACATTTACTTATTTCAACTCCCTGCTAGGTAACAGGCAGCCAAACCTTCTACACTGTGTGCAGTGGAATTCAGCTGCTGCACAAAGAGCTGGTGCTGCCACACATTTGGCTTTAGCTAAACACCAGCAGGAACAGATAAGCATCTATTTTCCTAATAAAGACAGTGGAAAACCCAAAAAGGAGCATCTGTAATTAGGGATGGAGGACACCCCTGTCTGCACAGCCCTCTTTGAAGGTGTTTCTGCCCACAACACAGCTCGCATGCAAAGGAGGGTGAAGCGACTTTCCTACTTAATGAGTTCAATGGTACTTTTAATCTTCACTTCATTAGAGGCAGGATTTCATGGTAAAACTGTCACTGCTCCTGTTCTGAAGAGCTTCCCTGGGAAAAGCTGAGAAATTCAGACACATCAAAAAGCCCATTGAGCCACTGTCTGCTGACACACCTTGCAAAGCAAAGCAGAGGTGCAGCCTTGCCGCCTCCGCGCAGCACTGCCCTGCACACTGACCTCAACAAACCCCTTCCTCTATAGCAGGAGCATAAACCATCAAGAAAAATCTCCCTTTTTTTTTTGTAATATAGTTTACATCTTTCAGCCTATGGTTATTGAAAGAGAATAAAGTCAATAAAGTTACAGTTAGACCCAAACAGATGTTTCTTCTCTTTGCCGTTGAAGGCTCCAAGAAGTGATGTCCCAATTGTTATCTTATTCATCCAAACAGGCTGCTGAAATGATTTTAATTTACTGCTTCAGCCCTGTTCTGTGGTCACATTATTATGTCTTATCATCTCTGAAACACCAGGAAAATCCATATCCATTCTGATGGGGAGCTGGCTATCAATTCCTGCCTTGTAGCAAGCAGCTGAGATTGCCACATAGTACAAAAATATCCAAGCTGTTGGGTTCAGAGTGTTCTACAATACACCCTTTAAGGTGAAAAAAAGGAAGAGGAGGGGAAATGAGAGAGATTAATCATCAACTATTTATAAAGCCACTTATTGGGCCAAAAAGGGGAAAGCTCCCAAAAAAACTCCTAAATTTAAGGATAATCAGCAACTATAAGTGTGGCAGCTCAGTGGTAGGAAGAGGCTTTGGAGTCAACCTTGGAAGCTGGGTACTAAAAAAGGGGGAGATGGGGGTAGGGTGAGAATAAAACAGAGCTGCCTTGGTCAGCCATCAGACAAAATGTGTCTCAGTTTGGTGGATGGGCAGGAATTGCACCAGGGTAGAGCTCCTGGGGTGAGATCTATGCCCAAGGTTTGCTTGTAGCCTCAAAACAGACAAAGGAGCAGAGAGACACACCAGGATTTGTTGCCTTCTCTAAACCAAACAAAAACCCAACCACATACAATATCTGGAGGGAAAGGACAGATCCATCTCAAGGAACATTCACTAACAATGTCCCTGCCTGGGCTGCACAGGAGCTTCAGCAGCTTTGCTCCTGTAAAACATTCAACCGGAAAAAATCCCGACAGTTATTGTGTTTAATGGCAGAAATCTCAGCAATGCACTTTGCCCTTGCAGTACAATCTTCAGCATTTTCAAACCCCTGCCTGTAATTTCATAGCTCTAATCATCCTGGGGTGCAGGAAGCAGATAAAGCACATCAAATTCCCCTTTTCCTGAGGTTTTGCTAATAAAAGACATCCAGGTGAGGAACGAGAGGCCAAGGAAGAGCACAGACATCTTGTCTCTCTACACCAACATTTCTGTTCACAAAAACACAAGCAGGCTTAAACACTCATCACCTAATAACTATGTTTTCTCTCGATTTTCCCACTAATTAGAAAGTGCAAAGGCATCTACTGTAACAATAACAACTCCATTCAGTTTCCAGACTTTACTCATTCGCTGCCTCCTAGGGCAGTGTTTGCCTGATGAAGCCCTCATGCCCTGCATGTCAGACCCATATAATATCTATTGAGTTAAGCAGATTTGATAGGTTCAAGATTATTTATGTCTACAAAGCTCAGGAAAAGAAAAAGATAAGAAGTTATTGCAGACAAACCCACACTTAAACCAGCATTTCTGCCTAACAAGTTAAGATAGCCTTACACCATGAGAAAATAATACTGACTAATTCAAAAGCTAAAAGAGAAAGACTATATAATTTAACTTTAAACTGTTCTTTTTGGGATGTTGTCCAGTTCAGCAGTACTGAGAGTTTACTGTGCTTCTGAGAGGAGAGAAGCTTTGTTACTGACTGTTTGTGGACATGGTGACCAGCTTTGTCAGCACAATGGGACGTTCAAGCAGCAGCATCCAAGGTCAGGTCTTCTGCATCGTCCATCTCCATGTTCCTAAACCTGCTCCCCAGGTGACCAGATGTGCTACTGGAAAAAACTGTGTCTGACACAAACACTGACAAGGGGGAGCATCCTGCTTTTTGTGAGGAGTCTTTAATTTAAAGAGAAGAAACGAGCTGGTGACACCCAATCTCCAAGAGAGTTTGCAGAAACAAAATCTACAGTTTTTCCATCTCTGAAAGCACAAAAAAAAGCTGAAGCTGCAGCTCATCACTGCAGTGATATGGGAGGCAAAGATTTGATGACTGACTTCTTCTCTACATGGGAGATGATTAATGAAAGTGACTGGGTGAGTCTGTTTTAAATGCCCTGAGCACTGAACTTTTCACACAGAAGGAGCTTTTCAGCAGCACGGTTGACTGTGCTGGTTAAACTGCCTGGACTGGACCAATCATCTGCCTTTCACCCTGTTCTTTTCAGCTCATTTGCTTATTTCTTGCATAAAATTGCTCATTCACTGTACAAACTGCTGAAGCATCAATTATGCGAAATAGATTAAAATGAATATTTTAATGCATATTCAGGTTGAAGAAGAAAAGAAGAATTCTAAGTGCCAAATTGTCAAAACACAAAAGTCTTTGTGCTTCCAAAAGAGCTCTCAAAAAAAACCTGCCAGATTGCTGGACTGGAAAAAAACTTACATGAAGATGAAGGTAAGATAGAACCCAGATGTCATGGAAACAAGATCTATGCAATTGAACTCTGTTCACTAAATGCTACTCCCAGTACTGATTCCACCAAAAAAAAAACCAAACAAAGGGGTTTAGGAGAAAAAACTGAGGTGGCTGAGCCAAATAAATGAAAATACACTGGAGGAAGCAGAATGGGAAAGTCAAAAGAAAATGCCTTAGACATTGCCAAAACAACTGGTGTTCGAGTGCTGTAGAAGGTGGTGGATCTGATGCACAAAGAGAACTTTTCTGAGATCCCACGGAGTTCAAGGTGCATCCAGATGGAAGGCTGCTGATCCCAGCCACTGCCAGACAGGCATGGGAGATTTCCAGATCATGCTCAAATGTGCCATAGAATTACGAATAAAATCTGTGCCAAGGAAAACCAGGAGCACAGTCTCTGCAGCTGCAAACATCTCCAGGTATCAATATCCATGTCAACCTCAAATTCTATACCATATTTTTGAAAGGCAGACAGAGCTTAGAATGACAAACAATCTCAAGGGGAAAGAAATCAATAAAAGCAAAATAAAATCTGATAAATTCCATTATTATCTATCCCTGGCTGTACCTGCAACTAGAGTCTATCTGTACATCCCTTAAAAAGCCTGAGAAGGAAGGGCTTGTGCAACAAAATCTGATCTAATCAGATCCAATAACAAACTGTGTGTGCATGTGGGGAGGGGGTGTCCCCACAAACCTTGTCTCCTCCTTATCCTATCAGGGCTAAACACGTGAACTCTTGGTCTGGGAGATGATCTAGTTTGATGTGCAGCATTAATGCTCCTGGAGGCAGGGGGAGAGCAGGGCACCAGCACCACCTCACCTGGGCTGCTGCAGAGGTCCCTGCTGAGCAGGGACAGAAACAGCCTTCCTTTCCCTTGCACATCAGGGAAATTATCAACAGCACCCAAGAGCACAAGCAAGCCATTTCAGCAGGGTGACAACAGGAACTGTTCCACAGGAGTGCTGACTTGGAACCTCAGTACTCTCACAAGCT